TTAAATTTTTTTTTATTTTATTTTTTTTTTGCTTACTTCTTCCATCTTTGATATTTTTTCATTTTTGTTGTGTTCTTATTTTTTTTATTTTCCTAATTCTTTATTTTTTCAATTTTTCTGTTTTTTATTGTTCTACTTTTTTTTTTTTATTTCTACTTTTTCGTTTTTCTAATTTTTCTATTTTTTTGTTCTTCTAATTTTTCTTTTTTTTGTTTTCCTAAATTTCTATCTTTTTGTTTTTCTATTTTTTCGTTTTTCTATTGTTCTACTTTTTTGTTCTTCTAATTTTTCTAATTTTTTTGTCTTTCTAATTTTTCTATTTTTTGTTTTTCTATTTAATTTTTAAAAAATTTTTTTATAATGAATTTCGTTTATTGTTGAAAACGTTGACATATTTTATGTGATAAACATTTCTTAAATGTACAAAAGAATTATGTGATATCATTAAAACAGAAGAACGCGTGTAACTACTGTAAAAGAAGGGAATGCAAATTTCGCATTATGGGAAAATTTACATTTGAATGGATAGGCAGGGACAAAAGGCGCATCCTGTTTACGTAAGGAGACAAAACGAAATTTTTCCTTGAGTTTTCTAAATAATTTTTACGTCTATCAAATTTTTTTTATTATAAAAAAATTTTTTCTATCCTTTTTTTATTTAAAATTTTTTCAATTTCTTTTATTAATTTAAAAAATTGTTAAAAATTGCTTTTGGTCTTTTTTAATATATGTAAAAAGATACTATTTAGAATTTTCATTTTCTCATTTTTTCTGTAAAAAAAATATCAGATTTCTTCACTAAAAGAGAATAAATATGTATAGAAAAGGAAATTTTAAAGGGAATGTACCAAAAGATTGAAAAGCGCTTTTTGCGAATATGAATCTCACCAAAAGTATACTCACAGTTTCTCAAAGATTGTTTACGATAATAATAAAAGTATAGGAGTTTACTCTCTTGAAAAGCTTTGTATATTCCAAGAAAGTGATCGAGAGGATTTTTTTGTCGTCGGGCTTTGCAAATGGGAAACAAAAACGAAAATGCGGCCAATGAAAAAAAAAAAAATAAAGTCGAGAGTTTCTGAAGAAATGACGCATTTCAAGCACCGTTCAGTAAAATATCCTCAAGTATTTTTTTAAACTTTGTTTTTTTTAACTCAAATACAATAAGCATCAATAAATCAATACACACAATGTGAATATATAAAGAATTGCAATTTTCATTTAACTATTAGAGAAATAGTGTGTCGTAGGAAAAATAATATTTTTCACAAAAAGAAAAAAGTATTTTCTCTAAAAATTCTTTTTTTTAATTAAAGTTAGTTATTTTTTTTTTCACTTTGCAAATATAACTTGTAAAAAAAGTTAATTGAAGAGAGAAGTAAAAAATTTCCAAGTAAAAATAACACGAATTCTATGATGAGAAATGAAAATATGTATTTAGAAATTAGAATCCACTGTTTTTATTGCATTAGAAAAAAATTTAATTTTAACGAGAGAAGGAAAATGTATGTAACAAAGGTCTTGAAAGTTGTCAAAGGAATCGAAGGACTTGCGAGAAAGGAGACTAAGAGAGGAAAACTGCCCCCTGCAACGAATTACCGTAGCTCTTAGTATTATACTTCTAAATTCCCTCTAACCTTCGGATCAGGAAATATAATAAAAATTCACCATTTAATTCACAGATTGAAAAATGCCAAACGAAAAAGGTAGAAAAAATATATTATTATCGGTTTTTCCCTTACGTGATGCTGACGTAAGCAAAATTTTTTAATTTCCTTTATTCAACCTTCTTTTCATTTTTTTAAGAAATAAAGAAATCAGATTTGCTTTTGACTGAATTTTTATTTAACTGCGCATTTGCTTAGGTAATTTTATTATTATTCAATCGAATGGTCAATTAACTGAATTATTATTCTACCAAACTGTCAATTAACCGAATGTAGTATAAAAAAGTGACTGTGGATTCGAATTCAGCGTTTAGGTTTAAATTACTTGTCTGTTATTAAATAAATATTTACTTGAATCAAGTAATTTTTATTTTTATTAATTTTTATTTATTTTATCAAATAATCAATTAAATTGCATTTGCTTCAAATGCTGAAAAATTATTGGTTTAAAAATACGATTTAATTTACTTAAATATAAAAATTATTTTGTGCAAAAGTAAATATTTATTTGAAAATAGACAAATTATCGGTTATTTGAATCATATAAATTTTTTTCAGTATTTATTCGGTTAAACGAATTTATTTTATTGTTTTTTTAATTTATTTTTGCTGTTTTGAATGTAATCAATGCTTATTATATTATTTTTTTAAAATTCGATTAAATATCATTTTGTGATTTTGAATGTAATCAACATCGACATTGTGAAAAATTGTTCACTAATTTAATATAGATACTCAATTTATCTACTAGTAAATGAAATAAAATTAGAAATTAAAAGTGATTGAAGTTTTTCTATAATAAAAAACAGGGAAAAAAATAAAACAAGTAACAATAAATGAGAATGAAATTAATTAAATTACTAAATAGCGATTGGTGAAAATTGAAAATACTATTTACTCCTCGTACATGTGTCTTCCATCAATTTCTGATGACTACCGTGAGACACTTCTTTTTCAGTTCCATTTAGAAATTAGAACAATGGTTGTAAATACAAAAGACCATTACGAAATCTATTTTATGACTTTTGGTGCTGTACAAGCGGGCACAAGATAAAATATTTGTTATAATGAATCACACAACTTAAGAGCAACGGAAAAACACCCGCTTTTTGTTCCTATTATATGGAATAAATTATATTTTCGGTAAAATGTCATTTTTAAAGTAGTCGTTTACAAGAAATTAAAAACGTACAAATTGTTTTCAAAATTTTTTAATAAATATAATGTTTGATTTTAATTTGATAATTTACAATCATCTGAATAATGTAGTCTAATTTTAATTGTCCTAATTCGAATTTAGACTAATATTTGTATTTAATATTTTATACAGTTTTTTAATTTAATTTAAATTTAATTTTTATTTAAAATTCAAATGTAAATAACAATTATTACGTGTGAGATAGTAAATTTCTAAACTTTGGTAAGTGAAGTAGACATAATTGGTTAAAATTATACCATATGAGAATTATGCTAATTACAAAACAGTAAACAAAAATTTGTTTACATATCTACTGTATAATGACGAAAAATTTTGACAATTTGCGATTTGATGAAGTAAAATATTTATCATTAACAAACAAACCGAATTAGAATTGAGTCATCATTCGTTCAAATGATAATTTGAAAAAAATAATCTTTTTTTGAATATATCGAAATGCAAATTAATTTCATTTTCATCATCTTCCAAATTAATTATTTCTAATTATAAAGTTAATGGTATTATATTGTCCAGAGTGTCCATGATAAGTGACCTAGGAATTTTACTTAATGAATCTTTTTCGTACATTGACCACATCATAAATATAGTTAACAAAGCTACTAAAGCCCTGGGTTTTGTCATGAGGAATGCAGTTTCATAATGTGAGGGCCTTGCTAGCACTGCATTTTGCGCTTGTTAGGCCTATACTTGAATTTGCCTCTACGTTGTGGAGACCTTGTCAAACTTATTTAATAATGGATATTGAGAGAGTCCAAAATAGGTTTTTAAGATTTACAGCTAGGCAAATTGGTATTGTACTTGACTATCATAACCACGATTATACTGACTTAAGAGCATCACTCAAAATACCATCCATATCTCAGAGATTTTTATATGCTGACTTACTATTTTTATTTAAAATTATTAACGGTTTTATCAATTGTTCTTGCTTATTGCGTTTATTTAATTTTCATGTTCCACAGAGACCTATGAGACATCCGCAATTGTTAAGCATTCAGTTTTCCAGAACCAATTATCTTGATAATTCAGTAATTTTTAGGTTGCGTAGGGAGGCAAATGAGTTTAACGGTGTCATTGATTTTTTTGGTGTTTCAATCAATTCATTTATAAAAAATTTGCGAGCGATTGTTTATGATAATAATAATAATAATAATAATGTAAATGCGGCCAACTAATTTTTGTAATTAATTCTGTCATACTTCTTATTAAATTTAGTACACTGTACGAATGGGCACATCCCGTATATATATCTAAATAAATAAATAATTCGGTTAAATAAAAATTTAGATAAAAAATATATTAGTCAAATGACCGTTTAGTTAAAAAATTATTCGGTTAAATGTAATTTCAGTCAAATGAAAGTTCGGTTAAATGACAATCCAGTTAAATATTATTTTTGGTTGAATGTTACTTTGGCAAAATAAGATATCGGTTAAATAACTATTCGGTTAAAAAGCAATTGAAGAATACAAATTACACACGAATAATATAGCAATATCGGTGTGAAGCTAATAGACCTCTCTTAAAAAAGAGAGTATTTTTTAATCATGTCTAATTGACATTTTTATTCGATAAGGTTCACAAAGAGAAAATGTAAGCAGAAATTAGGCAATTCATTTGAATCCCCACTGTCTACAATTTCAATCGAAGAAAAAAATTTACATAAAGTGATTGAGAGTAGACTTCAGGAGAAATGTTTTATTTCTTTAAATTTATAAATTTGTTTATAAAAAAAAATCTAAATTGATGTTTACGCAAGAACTACAGAAAAAAGTTTTGAGATACCTCCTTGTGCGCAGTAGATAAAGCTTTTGTCATTGAAAAACTAGTGCCGATGTAGTATTTGAATTATGAAGAGAATTTGTTTTGTTTGAAGAACAAAAGTTTGCTATTGACAGAAAATCAAATTTCAAAAATTTCTAGGTTTTTAAATTTATTCCTTCAATTATATAATTCATCAGTGCTAAAAATTTTTCAAATAAATTAAAACTAAATCTTGATGTGTTCTACATTAGAAAAAAATTTATTTGATTCAAATACGAAAAAAAACTCCACTTGGAACTGTCAATAAATATGAATAAATTCAATAAAAATATAAAAACATATAATTCAAGCATAAATATTTATTTCATAATAGATAAGTAATTCGTTATTTTAATCAAATATATTGTTTTCGGTATACATGTGTATATCTACTAATAAAGGTACCTAAGAAACAAAAAATGTAGGTTTATAATTGTTGGATTCAAAATATATATCAATCACTATTACAAATTGAGGCTCCGGATCTTAAAAGGTCACTTTTACCATTTAAAATCAATGCTGAAAGTGCTCTTTTAAGATTTTTTTTTTTAATTATGTAAATTTGAAACCAGTTTTTATTGAATACTTTTGATCTAATAAAGACTTGAACATCAATAATAATTATTGATGTTCAAGTCTTCATTAGATCAAAAGCGTTGCCGACCACTTTTCCCAATCCATTTTTCCCAGCAAACCTTTTTTCCCAATCTTTTTTTCCCAAACCATTATTCCCAAGGCAATTTTCCCAAAGCATAATTTTTATAGTGAATGAATTGAATTTAATGAAGTTTTAAGAAGCGTACAGAATTTTTTCAGAGGCTGATATTATGTCCTAGGAGACGTAGGTACTGAAGAATTTCGTCCTTCTCTTTGTAATCCTCATATTGTGATACAATGTTTCTCATTCTTGTCTTCGATTGCATCCATTTTTTCTTCGGTGCTGCTTTTACCGCTTGTCCCAAATCCAACTGTCTTAAAATCGTTTCAGTGTCCGCTTGCTCCTTAAGAAACTCTTTAAGCAGATAATACAATGAATGATGATTTTTTCCAACCATGAGCTGAAATTTGTTGTGCCATCCCTCGCTAATGTTGTTGGTACGATGTTGATCGCGGAGCGTAGCTTCGTACGTATTCCATAAGGATGCTGGATATCGTGGAGGAACTGCACGCCGCCTTCCCCGTGCTCTTCTTCCAACAATATAATTTTCTTCGAAATACCGCGCAATAGGAACTAGTTCTTCTGGAATATCGTCGAAGATCTTTTCGAAAGCTTGCTCAACATCAGCAGTCGGAACAAAGGCTAAGGAAAGTATCATATGTGCATATTCTTTGAGTGATCTGTCATTAGGGTTGTTGTACTGTTCCTGTAGACCTTCACTCTGTATCCGGCGATAGAAAGACTGTCCTAAGTGAAAGAAGCAGTATTGAACAATCCAATTTGTAAACACTGCTAGCAAGGCGTTTTTCACAGCAACCTCGAAGTCCATAAGTACTCGCAGTGGCGGAATGATATCAATTTCATATCGTTGACAAGCATTTTTTACTTCTCCTACCACAGTTTCATAGGACACCTGATATTTCGACGGGAGCAAACTATAAACTAATGGAACAGCAATTTCGACGTCGTCTTTTCCAGGAGATGATTTTCTAATGAGGCCCATTACGACGAAAATTTGCAAGAAGATATTAGGCGACGTCTTAAAAGTGCCATCCAAAAACCAAGCTGTTGATCTAGCTAATATTTCCAGGTTCCTTCTGGTTCCAAAAATTATGACTCTGATTTCAGTTTCGTCTTCGTCATCTAAAGAGTCATAAATAATGAAAGTATCACCCACCTTTGTCTTTCTAAACTGCTCTGGGATGTCACGTAGATCTGCGATAGATTTCGGATCAGGTGGAAAATCTTGTCGACGCTGTCTCCTTATGCGTTTTTTTAAGTTTTCTCGATCTGGTAACTGACTTAATACTCCACTTGATACTGATGGCAGTTCAGTTCGCAGAATTTGTGCAGGGGTGGATTCAGGATGATCAGTAGCAATTCTTTTCAAGTTACTTATAACCTTTTCAGCCTCAACTTGTTCTTGATTGGGAGCATGTCCATGAGAACCTTCCTTTACTATCTCAACATTGTTTCCCGTATTCAATGTTATTGCAGTGGCTTTGCATTCGTCAGTTTTCACACAATACCAGTAGATTTTGTCTTTCTTGGAGTCCCGTCTATAATAAACATATCCATTGTACAACAATTTTCTGCCACCCCTAGAAGAAATTATAATTTCCGGTTGTGACATTTTGACGCTGAAAAATAATGTTATTGTTATTGATTGGTGAACTGAACATGACGAGATTTTATCAATTTCCTACCTTCCAGACAGCCACAACAGATGTTTTCGAATTTAAGAGAAAATTAAATACACAATGAACTTTCAGAAATATTCACTAATAATTTTGAATACTTCAACATTTGACAAATTTAAAAACCAAAAATTTTGACAACCTAGCTCCTTCGAAAGGTTACAAACAAACTAAATGTCAAACTATTAACTTTCCCTTTATTCTTGTTGCCTAGCAACCATACATTTTAAATAAGTTTCGTTCCATTGTCTATAGAATTTAAAAAACAATTTGTGAAAGCATCCATTTCCATAAAAATAAAAAAAACATTTTTGGGAAAAATGACTTTGGGAAAAACACAAATTTAATAGAATTGGGAAAAATGGATTGGGAACTTTAGATTGGGGGATTTTTTTTGGGAAGAATGGTCTTGGGAATAATGTCCATTGGGAAAAACGGATTGGGAAAAGTGTACGGGAATCGATCAAAAGTATTCAATAAAAACTGGTTTCAAATTTACATAATTAAAAAGGAACTTTGAATAAAAATAAATCTAACACAAACATAACCTTCAGTTCGTTTGATTATTAGCTACCATCCTTAGGAGCATATGTAATACATAATTATATAAAAGTGAAAATAAAATAATCACAATTCATTGTATAATATTTTTTGGCAAACAAAATTTCGTGCAAAGCTCATGAAATAAATCGATAATTGAATTGAAATGACAAAATTTTTGCGTTGAAATAAAAGTAATGTTCATGTAGTAAACATTTTTATTAGCTCAGGAAGAATGTTCGATAAAATGTCAATAGAAAAGTCCCCGAAAATAAATCCGACATATTTATATTCTTGTTTAATCTAAATGTCGCAGTTGTAAAAGATTCATGAATTCGCGTTTCATTTTTATTGGCACAAAAATGTTTCAAGTTTTATTGAATTCTTCAATCACATAATTTTCTTCACAATTTTCTTCGTTTTTTAGTTCACTCATTTTTCTTTTCTTCTCTTTTGATATAAAAATCAATAAATTATTTGTAATGTAGAAATTATTATTTGAACCAGTGTCGCTTGCATAGACAAACATGAATAGATTCCTATTTAATTTAGAAAACTTTTATTATTTTTAATTTATTGTTTCATAGTTTTATTGTCAATTACTTAATTGTTTAGAAATTAAAAAAGTTATTTAAAAAAAAAAATTGTACTTGCTACCTACATTCGATTATTTTATATTTCTATCAATTAAATATTTGGACTTTTGTTTTCTATCAAATAAGCTATGACAATTTCATTAATCTTCAATGGTAATATTGGCGATATTGCAATTTATTTATTATTGTATATTATAATTATTTAATTATAATTAATTATTGAACTAAAATGAAACAATTTTACATCAACATTAATTGGTGTACTTTTTATATTTCGTTTGTGAGAGCGAATTTTCATGCCATCTAGGCAGCAATTTAGTGAACTGTATTGGCGCGAAATTAGAAATAGGAAAAACTCAATGAATAATGTTTTGATATTAATAATATGCAATTAATTAATATCTATAAAGAAAATGATTGTGTAAAATTACTGCTTATCAAAATTATGAATTAATAAAATTATTAAATGTATTATTAAAATATATTTGTTGATTTCTTTGTTTCAGGTAAAGCGGTACCATTCGTGGAATTAACAGTAGCTCACGCCTCAGTCTTAACTATATTGGCCATTAGTTTCGAACGTTATTACGCTATTTGTGAGCCATTAAGGGCGGGGTAAGTTATTCTCTTGCAATTTATCAATTTTTTTTAAAGTATATAATTTCTCTATTAGGTATTTGTAGTCTATTTGTGTATTGTAAAAATGCATGTTGACGAGTTTATAAGGGAAAATCCACATTGAGAAAAAATTGTTTAACTCTTAATTTTAAAATAAAGAAATATTAACCACTTCAGTTAAAAAATATTACTTGTTTGCATTTATTTTTAATTTAAAAAGATTATCTACTTCACATAAAATAAAAATATACTAAAACACTTTTTGTTTGTTGCAACGGGACGCATGATTGTTCCATAAAGATAATCTTTTATAATTTTTGAAAGGTAGAATTTTATTTGTCAGAAGTTTTCATTAAACGAAATTTCGTTTCTGCAAAATTTTTTTTCCTGTAATTTAGAATCAAACAAAAATTTATGTTTACACTGAAATACTAGAAATATAGATATAGATAATTTCATATTTTGTAACAATATTCTTATAAGTTATTAAATTTCAATAAGGTTTGAATTTGAAATTTTTGAAAATCTTAATTTCTATGGAAAAATAATAATGATTAAATATTTATTTAATAATGAAGTTATTGATGTTTTCGAATCATTTCACAATTAAAGAAATTCGTTAATAAATGTAATACTTAGAACTTTTTTTTGAGTATCTAATAATTTTTAGAGCACATCAAAATTTTCTCTAGTGTCAGGCAAAAAGTCAAAATTTTGTCTAGAAATCAGGAAGATGTCAGGAAAAAACAAAATTAAAATTTTGTGGCAACCCTGATTATGCTTCTATAGTTGTAAATTTTGAATTATTATATTTTAATACATGTTTACTTAATTCAATACAGAAATTATTGCTTCAAAAAAATTAAATTCATTAGCATTGGCGCTATTGAACCAATAGTTTTTTTAATGTTACTTAAATATATTTTCATGTTAATATTTGTATATATTAAATCTAAAAAAAGATATACATTGTAAACAAACATAAATATGTTTCTTAAAACACAAAATGTTTAATATAAAGATAAAAAATTTCAAAATAAAGGTAAAGTAATTAAACAATTAAAATTAATTAATAAATTATTTGATTAAAAAATACCATACTCTTTGCGCACTGAGAGAAGGATAATTTTGAATAAATTGTTGTAAATGATGGTAAATGATTAAATTGATTATTTATTAAATGAAGGGGATCATAATATGTCATCAATTTTGGCAATTCAGACACAAAGCAGAAGTGATTAATTATTTTTGGTCTAGGTACGTATGCACCAAAGCGAGAGCCACCTGTTTGTGTCTGCTGGCATGGATAACTGCAGCGCTTTGTACAAGGTAAGAATATACATATATATAATCCTATCCAAGTGTATATCTAGAAACTTTCTATTTAGATGCTTTAAAGTTGACAGTGACTAATGTCAATTTGCCAAAGCTTGTAAAATTTATTCGCTAGCACCTGCAATTTTACTATAATTTGCACACAAAAGGGCCAGTAGCTACTTGATTTGCTTTAACTCATTTTATGGTGCATTCCTTTCTGCAACACTCATTATACATCAATCTCTCTTTCTCTCTGCATGAACATATTTATTCTCTTCATCCATCAAAGTAAAGAAAAATTCATTTTTAACGATGAAAATTTTTCGAAAATATTCAACTTCTAATTCTCAACGTTAAATTGTTATTTCAAATTGGTTTAATATTATGAAAATCAAAAAATTTGTTTCATTCTTAAGAAATGTTTAATGGCATTTTCATTTTAGTTAAGGAAGAATCCGACAAATAATCGGAACAAAAGTTAGTCCAATGTCATATAATTTTGTATTTTAAAAGAAAGGGTCACATTTAATTTTTAAATTCCTTTCGGTAGAAGCGCGAGGAATTTAATTTTCTACATTTTGAATAATTTAAATTTATATTTGAATACAAATTATACTTGTTTGTCAATAATAAATAATTTAAGTAACATAACCTAAAATTTAACAAATGTTTCTTATTGACAGAAAATTGTAATTTTTATTCAAATGAAACTTTCAATCGTTTTAAATGTTTAAAATAAAATTCTTCGCCTTTCCACCAAAACGAATTTAAAATTTAATTTGTCTTTTTCTTTTAAATTACGAAATTATCACATTGGACTAACTTTTGTTTTGACTGTACATCAGATTATTCCTTAAACACAATGCAGCAATTTTTAGAAATAATTTAATTTCAGAAAGTCTTAAATTAACATTTTTTGAAAATTTCAATTGCTGTCAAAAAATTAATAATAATTAATTATTTATTTCAAACAGTATTAAAGTTTGAAATAATATTTATATTATTAAAAATTCTAAAAAATAAAGATTTTTGAAAAAGTTGAATTCTTTTTTTTAAAAATACTCATTGTGCCCCATATAATTATTATATAGAGAAATCAAAATACTTGAATCGAATATAACAATATCGAAAATAATGTATAATCGCAATAATAATAATGAGATTTAAAGAGGTAATTGACTAATTTCAGTATTGTGGAGAGATGATAAAATTAATAATTTCGATATAATTGGATGATAAAATAAATATGTTGTAGTAATGAAATTCATTCTTTGTAATAAGATTATAATTGGATATATTTATATTTAATTTGGCACACTAACTTTGAACGAGCTTGAAATTGAATTCTGTTGATATTCATTTACATTGACATTGTGTATATATGCATAAAACATTTAATCCGAGTGAAAAAGGTGCCATTAGCGAATGCATGTTGCGTTACATATGCCCTCTCGAGTGGATTTTTATACACCGTAGAATAATAAACTTATTTGTCTGTCTATCTGCTCGTCCATCTCCTGCTTTTTCTCTACACTTGCAAGCACTAGACGCGGTTTCTTGCCTTTAGACGCGTCGCCCTGTACTTTGACCTATATCCCTGCATATCACCTACACGGTTCGTCATCAAACTAGAGGCTCCCAGTCACTTGACAATATAATGTATTGGCCGTAATTTTCAAGTCGCACCTCTAAATTTACGAGTTAAAATTTTCCAACTAATTTCAAATTTACACTGTAGAAAAAATTTATTTCATTCAAATAAGCAATTACTTGTGTATTAACAAATAAATATTTATTTGTAGCGAATAATTTTTGTTTACACAGTAAAAAGTAAATCTTAATTTAAGATCAGTCTTAAATTCAGCACTGTCTGCTCTAATGTTAAATCATACAACATCCATTGCTTAAATTCATCATTGACTGCCTTAAAAATGTTGCGTCTAAAATGTTTTTTTAAGACTGCCTTTCTGCCTTAAAATAAGACTTTCTTTTTACTGTGTATGACAATTAAAATGAATTCGAAGTCAGATTTTAAAAATTCAAAATGGCGGATCCAATATGTCGGAAAAAGTTTTTAATTAAATGGTTTTGTTTCAAATTTGTCTAAATTTCATATGAAACTCGTATTAATAAATATCGTCTTAAGGGCATTTCATTAAACTAATAAAATTGTTTTTTAAACAAATTTCCGCTGAATTGGATACATATCTGTAAAAATATGACTTCATATTCGTCATTAGCGACCCCGAAAACCCCCCAGTAACATGTTTCAAGTAATTGCTACTGATTTTTAATTTTTTCCCCACCATATTGGATCCGCCATTTTGATTTTTGACATGTTAGAGAAAATCTAACGACAGATTCGAATTCAGCATAAAAAATACGTCAAAAAACGTTCTTATTTTTGCGGGTCCAAAAATTGACCCAAATTTGTTTTTGTGTGTTATTCATTCAATCAATTTTCAAAGTCATACACAGAAAAAAAATTTCGAGAACCAATTAAGGTTTATTATAAAATATAAATATTTATTTTATAATAAACCTTAATTGGTTCTTGAAATTGGTTTCTTGAAACTTTTTTTTAGTGTTTCAATTTTTTTAACAATTAAAAAGATAAAAATATCAAATTTCTAAATTCTCTTTAAAAAATCTTACTTTTGGTGTCTTTTAAAAATTTTAAATTCAACTTCTATTCGTTTTTCACTTTAATATCTTTTGAAATCAACATCAATTTTTCAACAAAATTTTGAATTTCTTTTTATTTTTAACAATAATTTTTAATTATGCCCGAACAGTGTTTAAATAAGTAATAAATAAATAATTGAATTTTAGACGTATTTTCCATGAATTTTTTTCGAATAATTGAACTTTCTTACAACTTTCTGAAAATTATTAAAAATAATTAATTTCTCCAACACTTGCTCTGAAAAGAGTACTTTTCTTAGTAGAAAAGTGTGGCGAAAGTAGATCTTTTCTCAACTGCTCTGAAGAGCGTGGCGAAAGTAAAATTTGGCGTGGCGAAAGTAAATTCAGCGTGGCGAAAGTAATTTTTAGCGTGGCGAAAGTAAATCATGAATTTATTCTTTTTTCTTGTTCTTTGACCGAGATTTATTTTGTATCTAACTTCTTCCCCACTCAAAACATTCGCCTTTTATTATATTAAACATAAGCAGACGTTAAATTAAAATTATACGAAACTCACGAAGAAACCTTTCCTCGCAAGGCGTTGGAGAAAACGTAGTGCACAACTCGTGGTGAAAGAATGATTTTTCGAGAGTGATTGCTGCTCTCGCTACGCTCGAGCCACAAACTTCACTCTCGAAAAATCACACTTTCGCCACTAGTTGTACAATGTACTATTACAATGAAAAAAAAATTTATTTGATTCAAATAACCGATTGCATACTTGACTATTATCAATTAAATATTTACTTGAATCAAACAATTTATTCAATTTTTATTCAAGAAAATGTTTAATCGATAATAGTCAAGCAATCGATTATTTGAATGAAATACATTTTTTTCATTTTATTAAAGAATTTGAGAAAATAATTGTATTTCAGAAAAATTACAGTTTTTAAACTAATAAATAAATGAATTCCTATGAAACTATACAATATTAAAGTTTAAGATTATCAGAACAACATCAAAAAAATTAAATTAAAATTTTTATTAAAATCGACTTTTTGAAGAATCTTGAACAAAAATTTTGAAAAGAATTGTATCTTTAGTAAGTTAAACAGTTCAGTTCAATTTTTCTTTACTATAACTTTAAAAATAAAATAATAAAAAACTCCCAATGTTTTAAAGTACCCACTTCGAAAGTTGATATTATATCTCAAAAAATAATTCGCATTTGTAAATAATCTCGATGGGTTTAAAATGCATCGAGTGTTCTTATAGATAAGAATATAGACCTCGTTTCTGCGCAGAAAAGGTCTGAGTCTTGTATGTGGCATTAAAGTTAAAGAAAAAAAAAAGAAAATTGAAAAAATACAAGAAAAAGAAAACCAGAACAAAGGAAAATGCAGAAAATGTTTTTACGTATACGAGATACGTGTGACATTTCTGTCTTTTAAATTATTATTGAAGACACGAAGTCACGTGTTTCTAATAAAATTTACTTTTTACTTCGTATTCTCATCTATATCTTTTAAGGCAAAATGAAGCATCTTATATCGAAGAATATTGAACATTTATTTTTATCTCGAAAATAACGCATTGCATGAAATGAAATTTATAAAGATTTTTACACAAAACATTCATATAGAGTTTCAAAAATGTAATGTTGATACTGGCGAAGGAATATTTTTATTTACCAACTCACAATATTTGTTCGTTTAATTGCAATAAACAGTTTGAAAAAAGATTTACTGAAAACTTATAAATTAGGTTTTTATTAACTCAATATAGTTAATATAATTGAAAGATAAATTACTGGTTATAAACTTATCAAAAAACATTTGTTAAGAAATAACAGTTTCGTGTAATAAATAATTTTCCAGTAATTAATCGTTAATTACTAATAATTAGGTAGTTTTGAACTAACAATTATACTGATAATGTATGATATATTATTTTTCCCTCTTTTAGATAACATTTCTGGTAATATATATATATAAATATACTTAATTACTATAGATTTCTACTTAATTAGTAAATTTCGAATTCCGGAAAATTGCGTGTAATTTGAAATTATATTCATTGACAGAGTTAATTAATTATGGAAAATTAACTATAATTCATTTTATTAATTTTTTTTCTTTAATTGGTTAGTTATTTGCAAAACAAAAGTTTTTTATCTCAAAATTCTAACGTTATTTCTTAGCGATTAAAAAAAAAGGAACTTAATAATGTCCGTTCTAAGTGGGCGGTTATTCTGCTATTTATCATTGGGGATTAATTTTGAATTAGAGGGGATTATTCATATAAAATACTGAAGTGTTGTTGAGCGCTAAACTAGCCACTCTATATAATGTATTGCAAACTTGTGATAAAACCCATTAAACCAACATTAATTTTTGAAAGTATTTCTCACTACTTCTTAATTGATATTTCCACTCTATTAGAACCAAATTCTTTATGAAAATATAATTTAATAAAAATCTGCTAATATATTTTGATTTAGTGACCTCAAAAACCCATGAGTAACGCATTTTGATCGAAATGCTTCAATTTTTATATTTCCCGACATTTTAAATTCTTAAATCGACTTCAAATTTTAATTTTTTGGTATAAAACACTCTAACTAACGATTTCTAACTAAATGTAGCTAATTTAATATAATTATTTATTAAAACAAAAATATAAAACTTTTGTCTTAATTACATGGACTTGTGCTATAGTAAAAGTAAATTTTCAAGGTAAAACTGCTATGGTGCTAATACCATTTGATGATTTAGGTGGGTCTACAGGTTGAACCCCGACTGTTCCTGCTTTTCCATGTTCAGTAATAGTGCTACGGAGCCAACTCACTTAGAAATGATAGAAATTAACAAAAGTTTAGAATTTTAGTTTTCGAAGTTTATTAGATTTTAATAATTTTTCAGAAATAAAAGCTTCATTCTTGCTATTATAAATAAAGTAAATAATTGCTAAATTATTTTAATTTCTTTAATTTTTTATTTTTGCTATAAATTAGAAATTAGCAAAAGTTAAGAATATTTTAGTTTTCGAAGTTTATTAGATTTTAATAATTTTTCAAAAATAAAACCTTCATTCTTTCTATTATAAATGAAGTAAATAATTGCTAAATTATTTTAATTTCTTTAATTTTTTATTTTTGCTATAAATTAGAATTTCAAAATTAGTTCTGAATTACACTGCAGGATATTTTAATATAAATACCAATTCTTTATGGATTAAAAAGATTATCATCGCTTTATAAAAGTAAATTCACTTTTCTTTCGCGTATATAGAATAAAATCCGCAGAGGGACTAATATTAAAATGGCAATCATATTTCTTCTAGAGAAAAAAAAATCTGGTAACTTTTCCCCTGTCATGACCTTTATGTATTTCTCATTCGTTTATAACCCTGAAAGTTGCGGGTTTACTTTTTTCTGATAAAATACGGTGCATAGTAAACGATTTTCAGAGAGACAATATAATGTGGTCAGAAAGTTTCTTTTTTCATGATGTATTATTCTTGCAAGAAAGTTAAAAACTCAAATTATTAAAGACATTCTTCAAGTAGCGAAAATGTGTGTTTCAGATTTATTTTTTTTTTTAGTTTGACACTTTTGATGGATTGATTAGTATAGGTATATATGTATAGAAGATTGAAGGAAACAAAGTCAAAAAATGTAAGAGTTATTTTTATCGAAAGATTTTTCTATATTTATACCGTTGATTTTCCTTCAATTTTCTTGATTCTCTTTGCGATTTCATTAGACACAAATGGTGTAGTATTAGAGATGTAAGTCGACTTATATATAGAAAAAAAGATCTGTTCTTTATAGAAGCTACAAGTAAATAAAGTAAGCCGATGCTTATCAAAAAGAAAAGAAAAGTAAAAAGAAAAATTTGCTACATCCGTATTCTTTTTTTAGGCCAATTTCCCATTGAAATACTCGACTCTCTTATCAAGAACCGCTTATATTCCGC